GGCTCGGGCGCCTGTGAGGAGCCACTGACCAAAGGTGGCATCAGAGAGACTTGGCGGTCTACCTGGGGAAAGAGACATTTCACACCTGTGTGAGGCAGGGAGTGCAGGAAGAGGGAGAGATCGGATTGCATACAGCACCCACAATAAAATAGCAATAGCGAAACAATAAAACAATCCACTAAAGGAACAGGGGACACAACCACATGCAGAGGGTGGGTGACCCATGGACTGTTGGAGAACTGGCACGAGGGACGTCAGTCAGCCTATCGTGACTAGGTCTCCCCACACCTGTTTGCAAAGAGCCGGTCAGAACAGGCTGGGGCAGGGCAGCACCTGGATGTGAGAGCCAGCCCATACCCTGAGCACTCGCAAGGACCACTGGGTGTGCCTCAAGGGCCCGGCTCACTCTCCTACAAAACCGTGCCCTCAGTGGAATCGTGAATGGCTAGGACCCCTTGCAAAGGCCACGTCACTTCAGACTGGAATCTCTTTGCAAACTCGGGGCCCCGGACTGGATCTGGCATCTCTAGGAACACAGGACTAGCTGCTTCGCCCGAGTGCCCTTCTACTAGTCCTGGGGCCTCACAAGAACAGTGAGTGTCCCCTCAGAGATGAACTCAGAGCTTGGCACAAGTCTGTTCCCCTCGAAAGCTTTTTGAACTGAAAGCCTAGACCAGGGGTAGGCAAATGGTCTCTGTTGCAGATCTATGTCAACTGTGAAAACAGCCACAGATAATTATGTAAACAAAGGAGTGAGGTGATGTGCTGATGCAACTTTAGCATATGGATGTTGACATTCGAAACTTCGTATGATTATCCCTTGCCATGAGACATTCTTTTGATTTTTTTCCAACCACTTAAAAAAGGTAGAAGTCGCTCTTCGCTTCTTGGCTGCACCAAAACAGGTCACAGGCCAGATTTGGCACACAGGTTGTCGTTACTGACACCTGGTCTAACATATCAAAAAAGGCTCACTTCCTGTTTCCAAGGGGAGTAAGCCTAGCTCTTCCATCCATACTTTTTAGTCTCTTAAAAGCCACTGATATGGGCATAGCTCAATAGTTGGATCACTCCACTCCTCCCTGGTGCATGTGTGGGCACACACATGCGCACCCACGCGCGGGCGCACACACACACACACACACACACACACACACACACACACACACAGATCTATCCAACATGGCCACTGTTCTGGACACCAGGGTGTGAGAGGGGGCAGTCTCCAGGCAGCCATGATGATTGCAGATACATTTTTAGGACTGCTGGTTCTCAGTAAGAGTGAGATGTATAGGGGCGCCTGGGTGGGTCAGTCGGTTAAGCGTCTGACTTCGGCTCAGGTCATGATCTCACGGTCTGTGAGTTCGAGCCCCGTGTCGGGCTCTGTGCTGACAGCTCAGAGCCTGGAGCCTGTTTCAGATTCTGTGTCTCCCTCTCTCTCTCTCTGACCCTCCCCCATTCATGCTCTGTCTCTCTATCTCAAAAATAAATAAACGTTAAAAAACAATTTAAAAAAAAAGAGTGAGATGTATAGACTGTCAGTGACTTGAGCCTCATATATCTTTCTGCCCCACTACCTTCACTCCAGCCCATATAGGCCAAGGGTGGGAGACCATAACTAGTGGGAGAGAGACCGGGTAGCAAGGAAAGTTAACAAGTGGTCTGCAGACAGGGCAAACATCCTAAGGGACCAGCGCCATAGGCTGAACACCCACCTTCACCTCTGCCTGCTCAGACCAGCGCCAGGTCTAGAAAAGATGGCCTCCGGGCCTCAGAGAACACTCCTTCTGTCCAGAGGATGCTTCTTCATGGGGGTCAATTGTAGAATGGGATTAGTGTCAGGGCCTGCTGGGGAGCCCCAGGGAATCGCCAGACTGGCCTGTGCACATTTGAATCTCTCATTGCAGACATAGAATTCCCAGAGAAAGTTTCTCATGCCGAGTTGGAATTTGGCACTGCTTTGTAATAAGGTGAGAAAAGCTTCAGACTTTGAGCAAGAAGCCCCCGGTTAAGCGACCCTGAGCAGGTCACCTAACCTCTTTGAATGTCTTGCATTTCCTCATCTGACGGGACAAGAACAGTGACGCACTGCTTACCCCACTGGATGCAAGCGTTCTACAGAACTGGCTGGAAAGGTGCGGAAGTGCCATCGCCTTAGTGCATCTTCCCCACTTTAGGTCTGCCTTTGGCCTTGACCAGTTGTGGAGTGGTGTGCGACGTCCCAGGTCTAGCAGAGCAAGATTTTGCCCCTGGATGTCGGCATCATCTTTTGGGAAGAACCAAGGGGTTCCAAAGCCTTAGATGTCCAGACATCTTGCAAGGCGAAGACAAGCCTTGGTCTTCTTCCTGCAGTCGGGCAGTGTGTGAAGCAACCTCACTGCAGAGCAATACAGAATGAGATGAAATTCACATTATATTACTTAAAATGTCATAGCACTCAGTTTCCCGGGGTATTTTGTTGACACGTGATATCCGGCGGACGCTTTCTGACTTCTATGTTAGCTTGCAACGGGTCCTTTTTGTGGTTTTTTTTTGTGTGTGTGTTTTCCAGGTGAGTTCTTGCTGTCCTCCTTGCACACTTTGTTTTTGCCAGGGTAAGTTGCATCCAGTGCCATCTGACTGCCCGGCTCTGCCCTCAGCCCCTCTTCCTACCCCCTGAGCCCAGCAGAGGCTCCGCCCACCATCTCCCGCTTGGCTCTGCGGGCTCTTCCTGGAGGAGGACACGCCCCTCTGCCTGGCCACTCAATTGTGAGCCCAGACTAGGTGGTTTTCATTCTGGTGAGGGGGCTTCCGCCTCATTCCACGATTTCTTACCTGAGATGTGGTTTTTATTTTTAATACTTATGTTTTAATAGCCGATTGCCTCCGACGGGCTATAGAATTATTTATTTTGCACTGATGAATCTGTCTTCTGATCTAAAATATTAAATCCCTCTCTGTCTGGGGATTTACAGCCTGGCTGCTCTAGGTTCACAAAGCTCTTCCATTAAAGGTCTCTCTCCTCTGCCAATATTTATTGCCAGAGTCACTGTTTGCCCAGAAGCTACTGTCTGCTGCATTTTCTGGGAAATGAAATTTATGTCTCCTGGCACTGATGGGGGTGACATCACTGAGTCACTGTTTACATCCCTGGGGGGCATAAGCCCTGAGCCTGTCTCCAATGGATGGCAAAGGTGGGGGGAGCCGGGGAACGGGGTGGGTTTACATAAACAAACATGTCTACCTCTTCTTGTCCCTCCCTTCCCTGCACCATTCCACCGACCGCTTGTGTTGACAGTATCATTACATAGTTAATGGAATCTAACAAAATTGACACCTCCTCTTAAACTTGGTATTGAGTGGCGGGGGTCAATAGTGGTGGAGGAATTGGCGGGAGAAGGATGACCGACTTTTGTGTGGAGGGTGTCTGCTCAAAGGGCGATAACCGTGCCTTCCCTTCATAGCAAGTGACCCCCCCCTATAGACCAAGTGACACAGGCTTGGCCATCCTCTGTTGACAAGCGAGCTCCCTAGGGGACAGAGACTCAGTCTTGCTAATCCCTGGCGGAAGTGGGATTCGAGCCTACCTTTTCTCACTCTGTTTCCATGATCCCCTGGTTTGGTGGCATGTGCCCCGTGAGGGGTGAGTGGAGCTCTCAGCCCCAGCTCCCCCTGCTACCTGCTCTCCACAGAAGCCCCGCCAGCCTCCAAATCAAGCGGGCCCCGAAGAGAGACAAAAAAACGCCCGAGCAGCAGTTCGCTGGGTACACGTAGCCTCCGCCCATGCTCTTCTCTCTTTCCCTAGTTAGCCAGCCTTCTCCTACCACATCGTGTCTATTTTCTCCAGCGAGTCTTGGTGCCATTACCACTTCCTCACCCCCATGAGCTCCTCAGCCCACTACATTCGTCTCTCCTCCCCCTTCCCGCTTCACCTGAGTTGACCACTGAGCTCCCGGCTGCCCAGCCCAGTGGAAAGCTTGGGGCCCAGGCCTGACTTCACAGGCACGGGAGGAAGACAGTGGCCCAGGGACCTGTACTCTGAAGGGCCCCACGCTTAGTTTAGTGCTCCACCGTTGCTGTCTGGAAATTCTTAGTATGTTGAACAGAGCATTCCAGAATGCCGTTTTATACTGGGCCCTACGCATGACGCAGTGGATCCTGTCTTTTAAAGATGTGATTTGTGCCTCAGACATCATCTGTTGTCTACCCAGCATGCATTCTCTCTCTGTTCCTCCAACAGAACCCATTTCTTTTCAGTCACCAGTGGAGACCACTTGAGTTCAGGGAGAGGCCATTCCTCAGCCCCAGGGAATGAATCTGATTGATTAACACAAGGATGGAATCTTAAGACTCTCGGTCCCGAATTGATCTAAAGGTGACCACATGACCTAGAGAGGAAAGAGAGGAAAGTAAAAGCTTGTTCTGGGAAAGCTTTGGTGTCCCTGAGAAAAAATGGACAGACTCAGCTGGCCTGCTTTACTCTTTTGCGCATCCTCTCTCCTTCTGGTGTGGACGTGGACACGATCGCCAAAGACACAGCAGCCATCTTGTGACAAGAGAGGGAAATCCAACACATTGCCAATGGTAGAGAGAAAGAAAGGCACTGGGCCATTGTGGAGGCACCGCCCCTCCGAACTTCCTACCATGAGGCGAACAAACAGCAACAATGACATCAAAACCCTTATTTTCTAAGTCATTGCTGTGATGTTTTTCGTATTTACTGCAAATGAACTGTTTTGTAACTGCTATGACTTCTCAGCGTAATTTGACACAATGCTGTCTTTTGCCTCCACTTAAACCATTCTTCCCTTGGCATTCATGATACCGTGTCTGTGGATTTTTCTGATCACTTCTTATACTCCTCTCCTTAGCTCAGCCCTCGATGGTGGGGTTTGACAGGACTTCGTGGTTCATTCTTTAATTCACTGCCAGGTATTTACTGGGTGCTGCTGTGTGTCCAGCTTTATACTAAGCATGGCAGGTGCAGCCCTGATGAGAGACAAAGCCCCCCTCTCAAGGAGCTTACACTGGAGTCCTGGCCACTGCCCCAACTGCCGTGCACACTCCTCCTGCACAACCTCATTCCCTTCCTCAGTTTCCCCACACGCTGCTGTCTCATTCCTTTGCAGGACTTCACAGTGACTTACCGAATTTAACAACAGTCAACAGATCCTCCTGGAAAAGAAAGAGAGAAGAGGCTGAGGTGCCCCTCGGTGAGTCAGCCGTGAAATAATCTCTACCCCATATTCCCAGCCAAGATAGAAAGAGAAGACACAAAGGGGTTGGCTACCTTTTCTCCTACCTAAGCTCCAACTTAATTTTTCTGCAACACTCACGCATGTTAGGAGATTCTAAAGCAGCAAATTCCCCTAAAAGAACCCTGCCATATGTGGGGATTCTCTTTGTTTGCTTGTTTAAAAATTCTTTTTTCTCTCCAAATGTTTAATTGGAGTGCAGTTGAGCGGGGATTTTCTTTTATTTCCTATAAAAGGTACTGAAAGTTCCCATCAGGTTTAACAGTTACTGCTCGGTTACTACTGTCAGACCCGCGCTCCTTACACATAAATGGTGGCAGAAGAGAGTAAGAGAGGAAGTAGGAAGTGAAAAATGTGTCAAATTCCCCCGGGGGGCCCTCATGAAGGGAGACTGCTACTATGGATAATGGTTTTTGTTTTTTGTTTAAATGTGCTTCATTTGGGAAACATTTAAAAGGTAAAAGCTTCAAATAAAACGGCAACCCACTAATTCCATGCATATGAATGTGAGGGGATTTGACCTAAAGATATAATTCAAATGACAGAAGATAACTGATCCGTAGATATGCTTATTATCTGTTGATGATAAGAAAAAATTAGGAAAAACTTTTCTCACTGTTATTCATGTAGTTCACTACATTAAAAAAAAAAGTTTATTTATATTTGAGAGAGAGAGACAGAGCATGAGCGGGGGAGGGGCAGAGAGAGGGAGACACAGAATCTGAAGCAGGTTCCAGGCTCTGGGCTGTCAGCACAGAGCCCCACACAGCGGGGCCCGAACCCGTGAGCCTTGAGATCATGACCTGAGCCGCAGTCAGGTGCTCAACTGGCTGAGCCACCCAGGCACCCTTATTTTCCTGTGCTCTTACATTGAAGGAGAAACACCACATGATCATATCAATAGATGCTTAAAAAGCACCTCTTTTCAAACTTAATGGTCATTGCTAATAAATATTTTTAGTAAGCCAGGAATAAAAGGAACACTTTTCATTTATAAAGGTTATATGAAAAAACCCCATAACACACATTGTACTGAACAAGGAAACAGTAATTCCCACCATCAGAGTTTGGTAAAACACACTACAGATCCTTCAGAGCAGGGACAATAGGCAGGTGAGTGATGAACTTGACTGAGGTACAAACGTTAAGAGCATGCCCAAATCAGTCATCAGTACACTAAGTGATAGCTTAATGCAACATTTTGAAAAATTAAAATTGATGTAAAAACTCCTTGAAGGACAAAAATATAAAATGTACAAGTGTTACATACATATAGACAGGATCAGTCTTTTTCCCGAGTTTTTTCTTTTTCCCTGCATCTCTAATATGGTTCTTTAATATTCATTCAAGTATTCTTTATCTTGATTGCTGAACTTTCTGGTACCTCTCTAAATTTTATACCTGAGACAAGTGCCTCACCTCATCCTGGGATTTGCTGAGATGGAAATGAACTTCCCTGTGGTCCCCTGTGGTGGCTTGTGCAGGACAGTAACCCATCAGTAGAGCCTTGGTTGTCTTTGTCCTAGCCTCCCTTCCTCCTGCACCCCCTCACCCCCTAGTCTAACAACTGAAGAGGGCCTAGAGTAAGGGTTTGTTTTGAACAAATATTTAATGGGTGCCTCCCATGTGTCAGCACTGGAAGTACAATGATCTCCACATTCCCAGCCTCAGTGGATCTCACAGTTGGATGATGGAGAACAACAGTGAAACAAGCAGGAACAATAAAGTATAGTAGGTGCCATGGTGGGGCAGGGGGATGGCTAGGAGAGCCCCGGGCAGGGCTCTGGGCTCAGTTCACCAAGTGAGAGGACAGGAGGTACAATCCCCAGCCGGAAGCCTGATTAGGAGCCGAAGGGTGGGAGGGGCCAAGGAGAAGGGTGAGGCTCTCAGAGATAACTGTTCCTGAAAAGGCTTATTTGAGGGGCGCCTGAGTGGCTCAGTCAATTAAGCATCGAACTATTGACTTCGGTTCAGGTTATCATCTCTCTATCGTGAGATCGAGCCTCAGGCCAGGCTCTGCACTGGGCATGGAACCTGCTTAAGATTTTCCCCTTCCCTCAGCCCCTCTCCCGCTCTCATGCGTGCATGGCTCTCTCTCTCTCTCTCAAAATAAATATAATTTTTAAAAAGGCTTATTTGAGAATATAACAAAATCACAGTAAGGCTGGAGCCCTCAAGAGACGAGTGTGGCGTAGAGAGAGTAGAACAGAGGGTGAGACAGAGGGCAGGCTGTGAAGGACTTTGTAACCCACACGGAAGAGTTTGGAATGGATCCCAAGAGCAATGGGAAGACTTTGAAGCAGGAGAATGCCGGGATTGAGTTCGTGTTTCAGAAAGACCTTTCCAGCTGTGCCATGAAGAATTCAAGAAGGTAAAGCTACATCCGGAAGACCAGTTAGGAGGCTGTTAGGGTAGCCGCTGGGGACTGAATGTTTGTCCCCTCCCCCGCCCCCCTTCATATGTTGAAACCCAGCCGCCAATGTCACGGTGTTTGGAGGTGGCCCTTTGGGAGGTGATGAATCATGAGGTGGAGGCCTCGTGAATAAGATTAGCGCCCTTATAAGACAGTCCCAGAGAGCTTCCTAATCCCTTCTCTCCTATCAGCATGCAATGAAAAGGCACCCACCTCTGAACCAGGAAGGGGGTTCTCACCAAGACGCTTTCCGTCGCCACCTTCATCCGGGACTTCCTGGCCTCCAGAACGGTGAGAAAAACTTTCTGTGGTTTATCAGCCAGCCAGTCTGTGGTATTTCTTCAATAAGCAGCCCAAATGGGCTAAGTTAGTCATCTAGGGGAGAAGCCTTGGTGGTCTGATGAGGGTGGCGGCAGGGGGGAGTTGATGTATTTGCAAAACGTTGGGTAGGTATAATCAAGGGGACTTGGTGATTGATTAGATGTGAGGGGTGATGGAGAGGAAAGAATCAAGGATAACATCCAGGTTTGTGACTTGTGCAATTGATTTTTTTTAAATACATCAGTCTTACTGTCTAACAACCTTGCTGAACTTTCTTCGACGAACGTTTTCCTTGATGAACTGTTCTTGAGGAACAGTTCTAAAATTATCTGTAGATTTTCTATGTAGACAGTTCACTGACTGCATGCAGTTAAGGGTGGTTTTGTGCCTCGCCTTCCTGTATAATGATATGGTAGCAGTCAGAGTTCAGTCAGGAAAAGAGCACCTACTCTTGGAATTTCAAACAGAGAGATTTAATAGAGGGGATTAGGTGTCTACAAACCTGTTGGGAAAGTGGGATTAGTGGAAGTCGGAGGAAGATGCTAGCTCTTAGGTTCACCACTGCAGCTGTGGTCCTACAATTAAAAAAAGTTGTCGCGGAGCGCCTGGGTGGCTCAGTCGGCTAAGCGTCCGACTTCAGCTCAGGTCACCATCTCGCAGTTCGTGGGTTCAAGCCCCGCGTCAGGCTCTGTGCTGACAGCTCAGAACCTGGAGCCTGTTTCAGATTCTGTGTCTCCCTCTCTCTCTGACCCTCCCCCGATCATGCTCTATCTCTCTCTGTCTCAAAAATAAATAAAAGTTAAAAAAAAAAAAAAAAAAAGTTGTCGCTGCCGTCCAGGTCAGGAAACTGCAGAAAACTTCTACTGATGATCACGCCTGTCCTATGGCAGTGAAGCGGGTAGCTGATGGGGTCCCTTGAGAACTTGGTAAATCTTTGTTTCTCCCAAAGCCCAAGCACTGAGAAGCGGCTGCCGGAGACAGAAGAACACAGAACATGCTTCTCAGGCCCTTCCATTTCCCAATCTCCCAATCTCAAGCAAGTGAATCTCATTGGCTGACAGCTAGTGGTGTTCAGATCCCTGGAATATAAAGGAGCATGGGATGAGCAGTCGGTCCCCAGGCTCCCAGCCCCTGTAATAAAGGGCACCGGTGGTAGAAATAAAAGCTGGTTGCAAAGAGAAACCAATAAAAAAAAACACCAAAAAACAAAAAACACAACAACAACCAATAGCCAGCACAGTTTTGTTTTAATTTGCCAGCCTATCCTTCTGTATGTAAGGCTCACAAAACACTTTCAAAATGAGCTGGGCTCTCCGAGCCCTTCACCCACCATTCTCCTCCACATACATACCCTGGATCCTAGAGGGTGCACAAAATGCATGCAGGTTTCCAAACATATTTTCCATGCCTATGCACTTGTCCTACCACTCAAAAGTTAACTTTTGCTCTGCTTGGGAAGACCCTTTTTGTGCCTCCACCACTTAAACCCACCTTGCCCCATACCTACATCAGGCAGGACTGACCTGGATCTCTCAGAACTTCCTCGGCCTCTGGTTCACAGTTTTATTATGGCCTCTTGTCCCAGTGAATTTCAGCGTTTAGTCAAGGGAGCCATCTCTTCCAATAGACCTAAGTATCCCAAGGTGAGAGACCAAGGTTTGTTTCATGTTTATGTCCCAGGGACTTACTTACAGTGCTTGGAACAAATGGTGCTCATTGAAGATTTATCGAATGTATGAAGGACTGTGCCTACAAGGTCGCTAAGAGTAAGCACCTGAAGTCGAATGAGGAGCAGACACCTTTAGAAATAGGCATGTCACATATTCCCCAAAAGGGGGTCTAAACAGTGTCAGGATCTTGGAAGGACAAAAACTGTTTATAAATTGCTTCTTAATGCCAGCTCCAAGTTCTAAATTCTTATTTCCTATTTATGTTGACTTTTTCCGGTCTTTTCCAAGCTTTTGCCATCTGTCCTTGCTTCTGAAGTTTGCAGCACTGTTTCCCATTAAAATGTAATTCCCATGCCACATTCTGGTTGCCCCCATCACATCAAATTAATGCAGTGATGGCTTAAGCTTCTGGGGAAATATGGGTCATTACACGTTGCTGACAGCAACCCTCACAGTGACATTGCAGCAGGGACAGAGAACATCTTAATAAATGATTACTTATACAAAATCAGCAAGCTCTTGAGTTTGACATGTCCTTAGAGAACCAATCCTTTTGTAACACGAAAATGGAGATGGAGAATTTCCCATGATTCCTTAGAACTATGAAAACTTAGTTAGCTAGCTCCTCCCTTCCTTCTTCAGGTGGGGGCAGCCTGTATCGCTAGACCTCTGAGACTTTCCGGGACCCAGGATAGTGTTGCATGCAAAATAGGCAATTAACCAAATGTGTGTCCTATTTTTTAAATCCCTCAAAGCCGATACTGTGTGGTTCCCTAAAGGGCATGCGCCCAAGGTAACCTGGAAAATCTTTGTTTTTCTTTGTAGCAAATGCTGTATATTGGTTGACTCGGCATCCATTTCTAACTCCATTTCTCTCGTCCACTTGGCTTATAAAGCCCAGGGAGGCTAAGTACTTTTTCGGCTTCTCTGCTTTGGAAGTGACCAGGTGACAGTTTTAAAGTAAGAGAGATGTAAGCAGAAGCCTGCAGGAGTTTTCTGTGAACATTTTGCTTTCCCGATGGAAGGGACAAAGGAGGCTGATGCGTTCCTTGCTCTCTTTTCTGTCTGGAGGGTGATGTGGGCTGCACCTACCTCAGCCTGTTTGTCCTGGAAGGGAAAGGCCAGGAGAATGTCACTGTTGGCAGATATTGTGGAACCGCCAGACCATCACCAGTACCATCAACCTCCTGGCTTCTTGCTATTTGAGAGCAACAAACCGTTCTTTGGTTAAGCCACTGACTTTCTATTCCTTGCTTTGAAGAGCTTTTCTAATACTCTATACTAACTCTATACTCTAAACTCTATACTAACTGCAGAACCCAGCTAAACAAGAGGGACAGGTCTGACAGATGTGGACCTTACCATTAATGTATTTTATAAGCTTAGTTTTATAATATTTTCTTGTCACCACGTTTAAGGGGAAAAAAAGGTTGTTTCAACGAATACGTAAAATTTGAAAACAAGGGAAACCAAAAGCAGTTGTTGTCTTACCTCGGCCTCATCGTTCGACATGTTGTTGACTTTTGTTTTAGCTGCATGGGATTGAGAGAATCCCAACTCACACACATGGGTGGTTGCAAATGTACAAAACAATGTAGCGAAAAAGAGTCCAGATTCTGGAGGCAAATTCTGTGGGTTCAAACCCTGGGACTACCACTTGTTGGCAGAGCACCTCGGTTTGTGTTTTCACCTCGTTTGCAAAATGGGCACATTGGCAGGAACCTACCTTAGAAAGGTGGTGGGTAGCTTACGTGCATCAATACCAGTGAGGCTCTAGAGTAATGCTGGACACGTCATGACAACCGTTAGCAATTATGAGAGGTCCGGTGGTGCCCCTGCCTCTCCATTGCCTATCTCTATCTGATATTTACTCAGATATCTGAAATAGGCAAGTTTATTCTGCCTGAAACATTGAATACATAATTCAGGTTTAATGTCTATGCTGACCAGTCATCTAGGATTAACCTAGAACCTTGCCAAGGTAAACGTATTCAACCTTTGAAAGGAAGGGACGCATTCAGATCTTAGAATAGATGCAAAACTATGTATATTGTGAAAGAAATCAGTGCCCTGCAACCTTTGTCCAATGGCCATCTGAAGACTAATTACTGCACTGTGATCTCACAAGGTGCTGAGCAAATGTACATTTTACCTGGCATTTAATTTCATAGGGCCCATGCATGCTGTGTTTGATACTCATAAATACAATGTCATATAAATAGACACAGGGAAAGCCTGCACTTAAAAAGCCCAAACAAGGGGCACCTGGTGGCTCAGTTGGTTAAGCATCCGACTTCGGCTCGGGTCATGATCTCGCGGTTTGTGGGTTAGAATCCCGCATCAGGCTCTGTGCTGACAGTTCAGAGCCTGGAGCCTGCTTTGGATTCTGTCTCTCTCTGCCCCCTCTGCTGCTCAGACCCTGTCTCTCTGTCTCTCTCTCTCAAAAATAAACATTAAAATTTTTTTTGATTAAATTAAATTAAAAACCCAATCAATAATATGGAAAGGACCAACAGGGCTGCTACATTCTGAATCAACAAACATTTACAAAATATTTATGGTAGGAGCTATATACACAGAAGCATGTAAAGCTGGAAGGCCCAATTTAAATACATTGGTTGTTTCCAGTATATAAACATTTGGTGTGTGAAATATTTAACTGTGAATATGTTTAATTGCAAAACAAAATTCTAAGTGAATTTGAATCAAATATTGGTAGGCTCCTAAAGCATCCCTGCATGACTGTAGGTGTCCCTTGGTCAGAGTTTAAAAATCATCTACATTATTCTTAAGGTCCCTTTTAAAATTGGAATTTTGAGTTATAGAGATTAATTCATGAGACTTTCCCCAACCCTTCCTGTTTTGGTCATGCATCCAGTTATACTGGTTCTTTATTGTCTGTAAGGTGAGTCTGTCTCAAAACTAATAGAATTATCTTATCTTAAGACATTCTATAGAAGGTAGTTCCAGAGCACGGGGCTTATTATATTAATTAGGATGCTTTTGCCAAGTCATTATCAACTCAATTCAAAATGGCTTAAACAATTAGGGCATTTGCCATCTCACATCACATAAAGTGTAGGAGGGCAGCTCCTTAGTTGGCTAATTCAATATTTCAGCAACCTCATCAAGGGCCTAGGGTTTTTCTGTACTTTCTGCTCAGCTGTCTTCACCATGTCGACCATCTTTCCTGGTGGCCTCAAGATGGCTGCCACAGCTCCAGTGACCATATTTGGGCACAGCCATGTTCAGAGGTAGAAATGACATGTCTATATTCTTTTCGTTTTTTGTTTTTTTTTT